CTATCAGAGAATATATATATGAGTTTACGTCTATAACCTCTACGTACATTCTCTGCCAGACACGCCATTATCGCGAAGATTTCTGCTTGGAATACAGTAGGGAACTCCCCCAGACTGTAGCTTGCACTCCATCTGGGTCTGAGTCCATATATTCCTGCACCCGTCCCTCTGGTCATTTTGGAGCCATCTGTAAACCATACTAGGCTCCACCTTTCCAGGGTATTAAACCTTTCCTCCCACTCGCTTTGATCCTCTATTCGAGTCTCAAATGGCTTGTGGAAGTGAAACTTTGGAACCATCTTGTCGGATACCATCCCAAGAATTGGTTCCGACATAGATGTATCTTTGATCCTGGAGTGGGAACCACCCCTCCAGTCATTATTATTCCTGAGTCGATATGCTGCTAGCCGCGCTTCTCTCTCCACCACTATATGCAGCGGTGGCAGATTTAGCATGACTTCTAGTGCAGCTGTCGGGGTCGATGCCATCGCCCCCGTTATACCTAAACAGGCCAATCTCTGAATTCTATTCAGTTTTTCCTTCGCTGTGGTCTGTTGTGTTTTCTGCCACCATACCACAGCGCCGTAAAGAATCCTGGGTCTTACTATCGACGTATACAACCAGTGTGACATCTTTGGTTTCAGTCCCCAGGTTTTCCCAATAAGGCGGCGGCATACACACAGTGTCTGCTTCGCCTTACTCACCACTTTTTCCAAGTGCGCATTCCAGGTAAGCTTATTATCCAGTATCACTCCTAGATATTTTACTTCCCTGGAAAATGTAATGCCCCTCTCCCCTATTATAGGTTCAGAGAGTCCAGTTAAATTTCTTCTCCTAGTGAAGGGTACTACGACCGTTTTGTCAGGGTTTACTGACAGTGCCTGCCCCTTACACCAGTCATCTATCCATTTCAAAGCCTCTTTCATGAGTTCTGAAACGATAATATTATGTTTCCCGACTATGAGAACGACCAAGTCATCCGCATAGCCTTGTGTATAAAACCCCTTTCGATTAAGGCCCTCCAGTGCGCCGTCCACCACTAATCCCCATAACAAGGGAGACAGTACGCCTCCCTGGGGGCAGCCCCGGCCTACCTTACACCTGGATGTCTCTCCCGAAAGGGTAGCTGTTACTGTCCGGTTTCTCAACATGGTATCTATCCAACGACACAAAGTGTCATCAAGGCCCCTGTTGCGAACTGCCGAATTAATAGATTCGAAAGGTGTATTATCAAATGCCCCTTCAATATCTAAAAAAGCTGCCAAAGCTAAATCTTTGTCGTCCATCGCCCTCCCTATCCTAGAGACTAGGCTATGAAGGGCTGTGTCGACTGATCTGCCTGCCTGATAGGCGTATTGGTACCCGTGCAGAGGATTTGCCCTCAACACCCCGTCCCTTATATGCCTATCAACTATTCTCTCCAACGTTTTCAGAAGGAAAGATGTTAAACTTATCGGGCGATATGCCTTTGCCTGGGCATACGATGGTTTAGGAATAAACGCCACGTTCGTCGATCTCCATGCCAGCGGTATATAACTAAGTGCAATGCTGGCTCTAAAGACGTGAATTAAAACCGGAGCTAGACAGTCCACTCCCTGCTGTAACAGTACAGGTACGATTCCATCCGCTCCTGGTGATTTAAATGGGTCAAAAGAACTTATTGCCCATCTTATTCGTGACTGACTCACCACCATCTTGGCAACCTCCCAGTTCTATCGAGACCCGGTCGTTACCCTCTGCTGGTGATCCCAGTCATATTCATCTCCATGATTGGTACGTTAGAAATTGGTTTATCACAGAGAGATATAAAGTTCAAGGGTACAAAGAATAAATCAAAGTGTTCATCGATGACGTGGCGCAGGGATACGGGATCAGAATATACCATGGCAAGGGAATAATAACAAAACGGCAAGAGTATTATAGACCAGGTTTCTTAATAAACGCATCATTAATTCAACAAAACTCAGAAACTCGGTATAAAACATCATAAAAGATATGATTTAACTTTTGTTCAACAGTACCTACATGAACTGGAGTTTTGCAAGAGTGATCTCATGCTTACCTGCTGATGAATATAAGTTTGTTTTACATCCATAACAATAAAAATTGTGTTTAGAGAAAAGATAGAGAAAGATCCAATGATAATGAAATTTGGTGGAGCTTTTAATAGTTGTCAGTCAACCGGTAAATGATGCACAATATTTTGATATTTTGTAAAAAAATATTTCCTATGTTATAGGTGAAAGTACTAATGATTTTATACACATACCTGTATGTATAAGTATCGCTGATAATGCGGAAGCTCTTAGAACAGATATAATAAATCAGTTTTTTAGGTATCACTTCTATATGATGTAGTTGATTGGAATGCTATACAATAGTATATTAAACAACAAGGTTTGAGAACGACTCTTTGCACACGAACGAGACATATTGGTGGACCGAGCCGAAGGCGAGGTACACAAGTCGAGCGAGTGTGCAAAGAGGTTTTCAAACGAGTTTTTTACGATAAATCGTTTTTATTACTAAAATTGCCAACGCATTAACAAAAGAAACTAATATTTAATATTTATGCTAACATTTGAACATTCCTTCAAGGTTACGCTGGGAAAAGCAGTATTATTGTGCATCTTGTTTCCGGTAATAGAGAATATTTTTGGTGTCGTGTCGTGTTCTGGTTCTGTGGCAGCAGAAGACACTGAAGACTCTATCTTTTTCGAAACTTCCATTTTATTTCTCAAACAGTCATCAACGTAGCCTTCGGCAACTGTACTGGATTTCTACCCTTCATGGCGTTTGAGGGCAAGCAGATTTGAGCCAGAATTGACTAAAATTGTGGCCGATGAACGCCGAAAACAATGTCCCGTGTAACTTTTTGGATTCTCTAGCATCAAAAACTTGGCGATTTCCCTAGCCATGTTTCCAATTTTGTTGATGCCAACGTTTTGGCTTGAACATTCTCCGTTTTGATAGTTTAAAAAACCTGCCTGTCTTCAGATTAGGAGGACGAAGAGCACAGTACTTTTTTAAGATAGTGTAAAGGTTTCCTGTAATTGTAAAATACCTTGGTACCTTTGTTTTTGTATTCTTCAGTTTAATCAGCATAGCACTGCCGAAATCTTAATCTTTGGTGTCTTCTATTTTGAGATAACATAATTCCTCCCTTCGACATGCCCCAGATAGTCCAACTGCCACCACCGCCTTGATAAGTAAATATTTGTCGTCTGATGCTTTCGTCAAAAACCGGCAAAAATCATCTTCTGTGAGGATTTGGGACTTCTTTGGGACGTAGTTTTCGGATTTTCGTTTGATTAGTGCTTGCAACTTTTTATAGCTTCCAAGATCTATGTTGTGATTGGCACTTAACGTCGACTTGAGCATCGAAAAAATCGTCCACAACGTCGAAGATTTATATTTCTTAGATAGTTCTTCAAAATACACCATTACTGCGTTTTCTGAGAAAGTTTGGACATTTTTAGCTAGTCGCCAGTCCATAAATCGGCTTAACTCAGCTTCATACCTGCTTCTGGATTTTGTGGGCAGCAGTTCCAAACATATTTTGCTTGTTTTCTGTAAAATCTCTTCAGAATCACACATTTTCACACCCAAACTTCGGGAATTCAATAATTTTTGTAGTATCTAATCAACAAAATAAAGGAGCCGTGACGGTTGCTGTGAAACTCAGCCAACTTGAAACATTGCATAATTTGGGTGACATCAAACAAAAATCACAATCTGGAGACGCGTGTGCAAAGATAACATAACCGTGTGCAAAATGTTTAGCACACTGCGTGTGCAAAATACCGTTTTCAGAGCGTGTTTTCCGTGCGTAAAACCCCCTTTTGCAAGGCAGTTGTATAAAAAATATATGAGATCTGTCTATTTGATGCAGCCAAAATATTGAGACAATTCCTCAGGAATGCTTGCTAATTCTTTAGGAGTGATTGATAATTCTTCAAAAAGTAATAAATAGGGTAATTTATAACACAGACAGTAATACAAATACAGATATTAATGTTTATTTTTGGATTTATGTTTCTTTTGAAATAAATTTTACACAAAGTGTTTCTAAATAATAAATATTAATTTAAAACATTTATGTTGAAAAACCTCAGAAAAAGATCTACTTGTAACATTCACATTAAAACAGGTATATGATATTTATTGCTATCTCATTTTGTTGTCAACTTTTCTATTCATCTAATATATTTTTTTCTATGCAGAATTTCCTTTTTAAATTTCTAACATGATATATTTATCTGGAACTGTTTGACAGTCTCCATTATATTTGGGATTCCAGCTTAGAGCAAAACGTGAAACGAAGGCCCGTTTTTATCAGCTTTGCACCCAACCCGCCGGTTGTAATCACACTGCAGTCTGTAAATTTGGGGTTGTTACGGTATCACCTTTCAGCGGAACATATTGAGCAGAGATAAAATATCACATTCCCTCGTGTCATCCCGTCAATATAAATGAGGGGCTTATGTTGTGTGAATAAAGGAACGAGATGATGCCACTGGCGTGTCGTAAATCTCCTTACAATGGAGGGTATTGTTGTAACTATCCGCTTTGAAGTGTTGAAGTCATCAATTTGTTGATGTTTTACTATTATTAGATGTAAACAATGAATGTTATTAGCAAAAAAAAATGCGTTTACAGTTTCTCAATAACATTCTCAAATAACAAAGGAAGTATTAAGTTTGGATAGAAAGTCCAAAAGTTCTATGATTTTCTCCAAAATTTTTACGAAATATTTATTAAATGATATTATCAACATTCTGGGTATAGACAAAAGTGAGACCGTGAACAACTTCACATAAGTGAAAAGTAGTTATTTCGAGAGGAGTTGAAATAGAAGACAAAGACTTACAAATACTAAATTCATGGAACTTGAAAATCGTGGTGATAAAGAAAAAGGCAAGGAACAGAAATAAAGTGCACACTAAACACTAACAATTGATTTTCGAAAACTTCTAATATTTTTTTGCTTTGTAACAGATTCACGTGAAGCTTGGTGCCAAAAAGTTTATCTTGTTGCTTTGCCAGTTACGTAACAAACCGTTTAATTCGTGCTGTTTTATGATCACTAGAAGTTTCTGCAATATATAAAGTTATTAGAAGTCTCTGGCATGTCTAACCTTTGGAGTCTATGTGTTTGTTCTCTAGAAAAGATATATTTTCCTAGGTTAAAAGGCGCAGTTAGTTGACTATGAGGAAGTGGTCTAAATGCAGGCGTCAGAACCTTCAGTGTTGGTAAAATCCTCCCTACACCAGGAGAAGGAATTTTATTGGACTCTCTGAACCTATAATTAGTCTTTCCAGGGAAGTAAAATATCTAGGCGTGATACTGGATAATAAGCTTACCTGGAATGCGCACGTGGAAAAAATGGTGAGTAAGGCGAAGTAGACATTGTGTGTATGCCGTCGCCGTATTGGGAGCACCTGGGGACTGAAACCAAAGATGTCATACTGGTTGTATACGTCGATAGTAAGACCTAGGATTCTCTACGGCGGCGGCGCTGTGGTATGGTGTCAAAAAACACAACAGAGGGCAAACTGAACAGAATTCAGAGATTGGCCTGTTTAGGTATAACGGGGGCGATGGCATCGACCCCGACAGCTGCACTAGAAGTCATGCTAAATCTACCACCGCTGCATATAGTGGTGGAAAGAGAAGCGCGGCTAGCAGCATATCGACTCAGGAATAACAACGACTCGAGGCGTAGTTCCTATTCCAGGATCATAGACACATCTATGCCGGAACCAACTTTAGCGATGGTATCTGACAAGATGGTTCCAAGGTTTAACTTCCACAAGCCATTTGAGACTTGAATAGAGAATCAAAGCAAATGGGAGGAAAGGTTTAATACTCTGGAAAGGTGGAGCCTAGTATGGTTTACAGATGGCTCCAACAAAATGGCCAGAGGGACGGGTGTAGAAATATATGGACTCAGACCCAGATGGAGTGCAAGCTACAGTTTGGGGGAGTTCCTTACCGTATTTGAAGCAGAAATTTTCGCGATAATTCTGACAGAGAATGTACGTAGAGGTTAAAAACGTAAACTCATATACAGGGTGAATCTAAATAACACCGAAAAAATTCAAGGGGCGATTCTCCGATGAAAATTAAAATATATATATATAAAATTTTTTGAAAAAACCCTTCCCTGAAAAGTTACGCCCCTCCTAATATTACAAAAAAAAAATTGTTTTTCTTTTTTATCTTCCACGTACATCAAGCTAAAGAAACCAAACTTGGTGAACATTATCTGTCAATAAAACTACACTTTTTGAATTTTTTTCAACCCTGAACTATTTTTGTAAGGGGTTGAAATAATCAACCCCTATGACATTTTTTCTTATAATTTTTTTTTC